ATGACAGTGAAGGAGGAAGTGCGTCTCTGTCTCGATCTCTCCTGTCTCACAGTGAGCACACACTCTCTGCTCTCTGGGTAACCAGCTCTTTCTGTGTCTGCCGGTCTCGATGGCTAAACTGTGCTCACTGAGCCTGTACTTGCTCAGGATCCGTCTCTGCTTTGTGTCTCTGACACTCTGGAGATAATCTTCCAATTCATAATTTGATTTTAGGGTTCGATAGAATTGTAATTTACTTTGTGTTTTAGTTTCTTGATCCCAATGTTCCAGATATGTATTTTTAGATTGTTTGATAATTTGATTTATTTTGATGTTTGGATGAGAAGCAGTGCTGGTTTGAGACTGGATAGTGTTAGTAGAGTTAGTCAGGTTAGTAAGTCTCAGAACTAGCTGACTGAGTGGACTCTTTTCGGGGTTCAGTTCTTGGGTTTGTATTGCTTTAAAATGTAGCGATTCTGTGGGACTTGATTTAAGTGGGCCTAATTCTGCCCTACGTGCGTTATTGGGTGTTTTTCTTTGTAGTTTTAGAATCATTTTGCAGAATTCTGTGTGTAGGGCTTCTGTTGGATGTCTGTCCCATCTAGTGTAGCTCTGATCACTGAGTGGACCCCAAACCTCACTTCCATACAGCGCTATGGGCTGAATCACACTAGCAAAGATTTTACACCAAATTGGAAGCGGTATTTCAATATTTTGGAATTTTTTCTTGATTACGTGATTGCGTTTCTCTCTCACTCTCTCTCTCTCTCTTGCTCACTCGCGCACACTCGATGCGCAAAACTCCGCATTTGAACAGTCAATAGCAAATACTTAAACTAATAACAAAACAGTAGCTGATTCAGAAGCGCCAGATTGTCATAGCAAAGTCAGAATTACCTCCTCTCCTAGGTTCACGAAACGGTCGTCCATAAAATGCATTGCTGTTCTGTTGTAAGTAATCTTAATGATTCCTAAATGCATCTACTTTCGGAAGGCCAAATATTTGGCGGCATTACCAAATATTTCCACATAGTGAGGTAGATATGTGGGGGCGTGTTAGAACGAGCCGTTTTAGGGGGGCGTGGCAGAGTCTTAACTTTGATAAAGAATATCTCTTTGGTTTTGAGACTTTAGTCTTTGCAACTTCAGGGATCTTATCTATGCACAATCAGCTTGTAACACTCCAAAGAGAAAGGAAAACTTGAAATCGCATCGTATGACCCCTTTAATTAACTATTTTGATAAATACTTTTATTGAGCAAATGACAGCAAGTGACAGTCGAGCAAAAGTGACAGTAAAGACTTTTAATAAAAAGAGTAAAGACTTTTAACTCATCTTTAAAATTATGTGACACTGATGTAATGGCTGTTGAAAATTAAACTTTGTCATTGCCAGAATAAATTACATTTTGAAATGTATTAAAAATAACTCTTGTATGTATTTTGAATCAAATCAAATGAATGCACATCGTGCTGTGCATGGACATTATTATTTAATTTACTGCATTTTTTATTTATTTTTGTGTCAGTCAGAACACATTGAATCCAAACTCATATTTAATTCTTGCATCACAAGTGATTCTTGTTTGCAGTAAAAGTTGAATTCTTGTAAGTCTTGTAAATCTTGCTCTGATTTTTAATGAAACTGGTCATGGAAAACTGTAAAACAGAAGTAGCAAGTCATCATGGCAGCACCTATTGGTTGTTTAGCAAAAAAAGAAGAAGAAAAAAAAAGATACAGTCACACACCATCACTGTCAAGTCTAAACAATGGAGAAACAGAATCTGTCAAAATGCACTCAGGTTGGACTGTGTGAGTTTTTGTTTGCTGAGTAAGTAAAACCGTCATATTTGGAGGTCAGTGATAATGGTGTAAATGTGTGGCCACTGAAGCTGAGGTATGAGTTCTCAGGCGCTGTGATATCGATGACCCCTGTCAAATTCAAGGCTGCATCTAAAGCTCTGTTCTCTCTGGGGAAGTGTCAGCAGGTAACAATCTATTGACATGACCGCTTTAGCTCCAGGGTATAGATATCCCATCAATACTGATGTCTATCATCTGATTGTGCTGTGTCAAAAAATAGTAAACACCTGTTGAACATTCATAATGAACTGCACTGCTGTTGTGATGGCCTGCGCTCGTCCTCATAAACCATGCTTCATTAGAGCCATTTTATGAGAATATTCAGTGCAACCTGAATCACATCATTAAAAAAGCCATAACAATATTAATGTGTAATTTCACAGTGTTCTACAATTTACATATAGTTTCATTAGCTCACTACATACTGATGGATGCATATAATTAAAGCATATAAAGAATACTGTTATTTAAAGAAAAATATCTTGAAAAAAAGATTTTCTGTGTTCTTTCTCGTGTTCACAATGTAAAGCTCACCCACATTTTATCACATATATGCAACAGCTTGGCGGGGGTGTTATAATTAATTTCATATGCTAAGTAATTAGCCAATCATAGATAATTTAGTGAGGTTTCTAAAGTGCAGTAGCAAAAACAAGTTCAAGTGTCTGAGTGTTTGAAGTGTCAGAGTTCAAAATTATGTAAAACTTACAATATTACATTGAAATATTACTGTGTGTGTTTGTGTGTGTGTGTGTGTGTGTGTGTGTGTGTGTATATGTACTAAATGTTAAGTTATACAACTTGTTAAGTTATACAACTGAATTCGATTTGAAAGCCTTTACTGTCATTGTATTTTTCTGTATACAACAAAATTAGGAGCACTGCTCCTGATTGGTGTTAGAAAACAAACATATAACCACAGACAATAAATAAGAATATGGACTGTACATAAGACTATGGACTGTACAGTACAATTATATATACAACAAGTGACTGAGCCATAATATTGCACATTGAGCAATCTGAGTAAAGTGATCATTGATAGTACTGCACATTGACCTCTACATTGATATGAAACAGTAAGTATATACAAAAAGTACAAACTAAAAATGGAATAAATGGCAGTAGTGATTAGTGATCAGGTACAGTATTGCACCTTGACATGCCACATTTAGTGCATTTGTTAAAGTACTGATAAAGTGACCAGGTGATCATATTGCACATTCTGCATATTGTATACAAACAGCAATATAATTATGTAAAACTTACAATATTACATTGAAATATTTCTGTGTGTGTTTGTGTGTGTGTGTGTGTGTGTGTGTGTGTGTGTGTGTATATGTACTAAATGTTAAGTTATACAACTTGTTAAGTTATACAACTGAATTCGATTTGAAAGCCTTTACTGTCATTGTATTTTTCTGTATACAACAAAATTAGGAGCACTGCTCCTGATTGGTGTTAGAAAACAAACATATAACCACAGACAATAAATAAGAATATGGACTGTACATAAGACTATGGACTGTACAGTACAATTATATATACAACAAGTGACTGAGCCATAATATTGCACATTGAGCAATCTGAGTAAAGTGATCATTGATAGTACTGCACATTGACCTCTACATTGATATGAAACAGTAAGTATATACAAAAAGTACAAACTAAAAATGGAATAAATGGCAGTAGTGATTAGTGATCAGGTACAGTATTGCACCTTGACATGCCACATTTAGTGCATTTGTTAAAGTACTGATAAAGTGACCAGGTGATCATATTGCACATTCTGCATATTGTATACAAACAGCAATATAGACAGAAAAAAAGAGATTGGAATGAATTAAGAGACTACAGTGCTGCTTGAAGTTTGTGAACCATTTAGAATTTTCTGTATTTCTGCATAAATATAACCCAAAACATCATCAGATTTTCTGAAAGTAAGTCCTGAAAGTAGACAGAGAACCCAATCAAACAAATGAGACAAAAATATTTTCTTTGTCATTTAGTTATTGAGAAAAATGATCCAGTGTTTCATATCTCTGTGTTGCAAAATGATGCAAATTTTTGCTTTCAGTATCTGGTGTGACCCCCTTTTGCAGCAATAACTGCAGGTAACGTTTCTTGTAAATGCTGATCAGTCCTGCTTGTAGGACTTTTAGCCCATTCCTCAGTACAGAACTGCTGCAACTCTGTGATGTTGGTGGGTTTCTTCCTATGAACAGCTTGCATCAGGTCCTTCCACAACGTTTCAATTGTATTAAGGTCCAGACTTTGACTTGGCCATTCCAAAATATTAAATGTGTTATTTTTTTAACCATTCTTTGGTAAAACGACTTGTATGCTTGGGCTCGTTGTCTTGCTGCATGGCCCACTTTCTCTTGAGACTCAGTTCTAGAAACAGATCAGGTCCTGATATTTTCCTTTAGAATTTGCTGGTATAATTTAGAAGAAAAATTCTGTCCACAAAACATTTCTTCAGTAGCCCTCTGGTTTGTCCACATGATCTTTAGAAAACTGTAAATGGGCAGCAATGTTCTTTCTTCTTGCGAGGCTTTCTTCTTGCAACTCTGCCATGCAAGCCATGGTTGTTCAGTGTTCTCCTGATGGTGGACTCATAAACATTAACATTAGCCAATGTGAGAAAGGCTTTTAGTTGCTTAGAAGTTACCCTGGGTTCCTTTGCAACCTCACAGACTATTTCATGTCTTGCTTTTAGAGTGATCGTTGTTGGTCAACTACTCCTGGGGAGGGTAACAGTGGTCTTGAATCTCCTCCATTTGTACACAGTCTGTCTGACTGTGGATTTGTTGAGTCCAGACCCTTTAGAGATGGTTTTGTAACCTTTTCCAGTCTGATAAGCAACAACAACTCTTTTTCTGAGGTCCGCAGAGATCTTCTTTGTTCGTCCCATGATTCACTTCCAGAAACATAATCAAACTTTGATAGATCACCGTTCTTTAAATAAAACAGGGCAGACACTTGAACCTGATAGTCATTCCACTGATTGAAAACACCTCTGAACAGATGGAATGTAATTTCGCCTTCAAATTAACTGCTAAACCTAGAGATTCACATACTTTTGCAATGCACAGATATGTAACACTAGGTCATTTTTTCTCAATAAATAAACAACAAAAAAAATATTAATGCCTTATTTGTTTGATTGGGTTCTCTTGTTTGAAAACCTGATTGTTTTGGGTCATATTTATGCAGAAATTCAGAAAATTCTAAATGGTTTACAAACTTTCAAGCAGCATTACATAGGCTAGTTGAATAATGTGAGCAGAAATAGTATTTTCACATTGACCTTTGCATTAGTGCATTTGTGAGTTTAAAGTCCTGACAGCACCTGGAAGAATCTGTCCTATGAGCAAGTAGTCCTTGTTCTTAAGGATCTGTACCGCCTGCCTAAAGGCAGGAGATTAAACAGGTGGTTTCCTGGGTGTGATGTGTCCTTGATGTTTTTGGCCCTTGAGAGATAGTGGGAGGGAGCAATGCTTTCCAGGGAGGGTAGTAAACAGCCAGCAATTTTTTTGGGCTGTGTTGATTATCCTTTGGAGGGCTCTCTTGTCTGCTGCAGTGCAACTGGAGTACCATACTGAAATGCAGTACACTAGCACACTTTTGATGGTGGAGCGGTAAAAGAACACCAGCAGCTTACACTCTTAAGTTGTTTCTCCTGAGTGCTCTGAGGAAGTGCTGTGCCTTTTTGATTGTTGCTGAGGTGTTAGGAGACCAAGAAAGGTCATCGGATATGTGGACTCCCAGGAATTTGAAGGTGTGGACCTTTCCACATGGTCCCCATTGATGTAGAATGGGGCTGCCACAATGCTGCATCTCCTTAAGTCCAGAATGAGCTCTTTTGTTTTAGAGGTGTTACGAAACAAGTTGTTATCAGAGCACCACACATCTAGTTTCTGGATTTCATCTCTGTAGACTGATTGATCATTTCCTGTCAAGTCCAATCATTGTAGTATCGCCGGCAAATTTGAGGGTGGTGTTGGTAGAATGAGTGAGAGTGCAATCATAAGTGTACAAGGAGTAGTGGGCTCAATACACAGCCTTGTGGAGAGCCAGTGCTGAGCGTGATGGTAGAGGGGAGGTGGGGGCCAAATCTGACAGTTTGTGGCCAGTTAGTAGCTGTGTTTCAATTACCCTTCAAATTGCGCAAATTTAAAATATGCCCGATGAAAAACGTCAATTTCGCAATAACTCTGATATATTGCGAATAAGTTTTTTACGCTCGCATGACGTGGTTTTTCAGGAAATTTAAAGAAGTAATATTTCGCAAAACTGCAATAGAAAAATTTTCCGCATTTACAGGTCACCTGGCATATGTAAAAGTCACATGATCATTTTTAATGTACTATAACCTCCAAGAAACACCTCATACGTGGCCGATCTCAAGTATTAGGGGCTTTTTCTTGCCATTAGTTCTTTGATAACCCCTTATTTACACTATGTCTGCTGAGTCGGCATGTTTCAGAAGCATCCCAGAAGTGACTCTCCACGCTGCTTCGCTAAAGATACACACCTACATCTCGATTAAAAATAATGGCTAATGCGTAGGCTGCAATATATGTAAACTTACCAACATCTGTTGCCATGACTTATTGTAAGAGTAAAAAATTTAATTTTAGTTGCATACATTTTTTTATCGACATTTATAAAATATCGCAAAAGTTTTGCGCCAATCTTTAATGGCAACACACATAGTGAGGAAGTCCTTTATCCAGGTGCAGATGTAAAGACAGAGGCCAAGTTCAGTTTATTTGCTTACTAGAATGTCTGGTATAATCGTATTGAACAAGCTGTAATCTATGAAGAGCATTCTTACATAGGTTCCCTGGATTAAACCTTGTAATAAAGTATTGTAACATTTGCTGACAGTTTGACTAACATTATCTCTTTCCAAACCTTGCTGTCTACCGTGGAACATAGTAGGAAATATTTTAAATAATATATATGTTTTTTTTTCAATGCAGTAAATATCAAGCTTTAAAAATGATCCAGAAGCATCATAAGTATCATGAAATTAGTCTCTTCATGTTATGCATTATATATAGTCTTCTAAAATAATTTTTAGAAACATGTTTGGCCATTTCAATATGGCGGACGGCTTGTATATAGTAGCCCCATAGAAGCAGTCACTAAAGAGTCATCTACGTATGTATACATATCTATGATGAAAACCATCTCCTAGTTCTGCCAGCGAGTTCAGTCCTGTGAAATGTTAAAAAAAGTTTCTTCCTAATCATGTGAGAAGATTAGTGAGTGATTAGCAAAGTGATCCTAAAGAGTTTTGCAATGCCAAAAGACGTACATCTCTTAGGTCTACATAAGGATGATGCTTACATATTCATTGAACTTTTCCATTGTGCCTGCGGACACACTGAAATTTAGAGGCACTTTGGTGACAGTCATGCATGAAAGAGTTTGATGACAGCTTGAGTGGTGCAGTTGATGCACAAGACATGTCACATCAATTTCCTGAGTATCTTCGTGTATGTCATGCCAGTGTTCATATCCAGTGGCTAATCAGTAATGATTTGAATGAACTTGTCACATGAGCGTGTAGTTATTTTGCATTGAGAGAAGACAATGAAAATAGTCTTATGCAGTAAAATGTCTGTGTTGTATAACACAAGCAGTAAAAGTGCCTGTAATTTTCTGTTGTTTAGTTTGGCTTTTAGTCTTGTTTTAGCTGTGCCCTTTAATACAACGTCCAACTTAAATGTTAGTATTTGCCATAAATCACTATTACATTTGAATAAGTACAATCGTAGCTTATCAAGAGCAGTATCCCCTGCGGCTCACAACAGCTGACAGGCCAAGATAAAAATCTTTTCAAATTCATCAGCAATAATCAAGGCTTAAGGTCTTACGGTTTATTGTATTTACTACTTGTCAATAAGCAGTTTGTCAGGAACGGGGAGGGTGTTCATCTCCAAATCCTTGCCAGCTTAGTGAAGTCATTCCAATAAAAGACCACGACTAGCATTTCTTGAATGAAAACTGCTCTGAAATAGTGCTCTCGGTGCAGACGTTAATGAAAAGTGTTCGTGGTGGGTCTTAATCTGCTTAATCTGTTGCATTCGATAGTCTCAAAAATAGAACATCTGGAGACATTGCAGGATTTTCACTTCTAGCGTTATTTGTTCCTTATAAATATTGTACCAAAACGTGTTGGTTGTTCTGATGATTTGGTAGGCGGGTTAGGGGCCTTAACTATGGGAACGGAAAAAGGCAAGAACCAAACTGAGAAACACATGTCTGTTTCATTTATTTTTAAAATCACTATTACATTTGAATAAGTGCACTCATAGATTATGAAGCAATTTGCAACAGATGACAGGCCAAGATCACAATCTTTTCAAATTCATCAGCAATATTCAAGGCTTAAGGTTTTATGGTTTATTATTGTCGTACTTGTTCCTCATAAGTACTGTCCCGGAACCTTAAGCTGGTTTTTATTTTACTTGGTAGGGAATTGTAGGGTTCTTTACTATGGGAACAGAAGAAGGTGAGAACCAAATTATGAGAGACACATGTCTGTTACATTAAATTTTTTGGCTCTGTTTTCTGTTGACTGAATTTTAATGAAGTTTTTATGAATATGAGCTCTCCATCATGCTTTTCCCATATGATGTACTAGTCATGTCTAATGAAAATATATGATGACAATGCTTCAGGCATTTTACAGTTCATGTAAAATGTACATAAATGGGTCATTGGCATGTCCCTGTCAGGTAACATATTCCATCTAAAGCTTTCAAGTTGGCATGAAATAAAAATTCATGCTACCTATTTTATAATTAATATGCATACATCTTTTATATTGTAAATTATAGGGGTGTGCAGCGAAATCAGTATTTGTATCTGTAACACTCACAAAATTATTTGCATCTGTATTCAGATCAAATCGGAAGTAGGCGGAGCTTGAACCAGAACTTCGTACAGTTATATTTGATAAGACCGTTGTGTTTATGATCTTTTTTCGTTGTTATCACTGAACAAATATGCCGTGTTTAACTAAAATAATATATATATACATAGCCATGGATATGTACAACATATGACTAGCGTTTAAATTATGCTCTGTGCAGACCAGTTGCATACACTTTATTAAGCAATATCCATCTCTTTGAAACAATAATAATCAAATGTTCATAAAGACCAATAATAATTAAAAAAATCCTTTAAAATGTTTTCAAACACCTCCTAGAATTTAGTATCTGTTCTGCGGACTGAAGATGCTACAGACTGTATTGTTTATGAATGTGAAAGCAATGTGCTTCACTTATAATCATTTATCAACATACCCAGACATCTTCTCAGTCAATACACTCATTAGAATTCCCAGTGGAATGGGTCTCTCCCTATTGTGTTTTTTTCATGCTCATTAAACAGTCTTCTAAAGTACAATCAATGCAGTTTGCAAAAAGTATGTGTGTTTGTGTCTGTGTGTGTATTTGAGGGCAGGTATGAATACACTTGTTTATGTCAGGCATCTTATTTCATACTCGCATCCATGAGTTCCAAGCCAGTCAAATCACATTGTAATGCTAAATAACAGTATCTTATATGAATTTTATGAAGTTTATAAAATAGTTTATATAGTTCTAATATAATATAATTAATCAATAGATAAAAACATCAATATCTAACCAGGTACTTTATCCACTTCTCCGGCTTGAGCCATACATGTTCAAATGCTGAAATTGTCATTCTAACATTTTCACAGCTTCTGGAAATGAGGATTTTTTTTCTCTGCTGTGCATAGAATCATAATTTTGCTTAGTTGCTATAATTAGCCACTTAAATATTTCATAATCTGAATGTGTGGCAATGTGCCTCACCATCCGAATTCACTGGATTCTGATTTATATCCTGTCAAATACTTAATGACAAATCTCCTCATTCCCTTTCATTTAATTCTGCCATAAATGACTTTGCAGCAAAGCAGTGGCACCGCATTAGCAATCAGCTCCCCGCTCAGTATCTCACATTTTCTGTTATTAAGTCAATTTTCATCCACACATCGCAAAAGGCACTTGTAGGACAGACAAGGGCAAGTGGCGCAAAGAGGAGAAAATACATTAGGCCTCATGGTATTGAATGTTGACGTAATGGCAAAATATAGTCAACGGTTTAGAGTCGGAATATTTGAAAAGCCCATTTCCCTCTAAATATTTCCTTTCACCACATTCTCTTCAATGAAAACAGAAGCCATAGTGCTGTAATGAAGAGAATGCAATGCAATAGTAGTTACTATTTGTGATACGGCAAGGCCTGATGTGATGCTAACGGTCGGAGCGCCTGTTTCTTATGTAAATCACTTCATTTGCAACTGTTGCTTGTCATGCTAACTCAAGCCAGAGTTCATTCACTAGCCTCTGAATCACTCCGACTGACAGACTCGTTAGCATAGCCATGGATCAAAAGTATGCTTCAGAGTTCCTGTAGTTATAAATTCCTGTTGAATGTATTTTTGGTGAATTAATGGACTCTTTATTTGGCCTAACTGATGAATGCTGATGAACTCTTACCCCTGGTTTCACAGACGAGGCTTAAGCCAAGTCCTAGACTAAAATGTAAATCTGAGCTGTTTCAACTGAAAAAAACTTGCACTAACTGATCTTAAAACATGTCAGTGCCTTTTTTTTTGTCTTAAGATGCACACCAGTAATGCTTTTTTATAAGGCATGGTTATAAAAATAACTTAAATGTCCTAAATTAACTATGGCCTAATCCTGGTTTAGGCTAAGCCCTGTCTATGAAACCGGGCCATAATTAGGGACAGTAAGGTGATAATGACAAATAGCTGAGTATTAGAACAACTGTAAAAGGCTGTGCACTTAATCGAATAAACAGTCAAGATTTTGATTACGGCTGCTGTGATTAGCTAAACATGAGACTGTTGATTGCACTATTCCATTTAGGTCTGCCTAAATGAGGTTCCATCTAAATTTTTTGCTTCAGTTGAGTTTTGTAACCAACTGCAGAGGTGTTTGTTGTGCATATGAATGTAAATAAGAGGTATTTAAGGTTTTCTTTATACCTGTCAATAACAATAAACACCTGATGAGATTTCAGCAATCTGTTGCACAGATATAGATACACAAATATATGTTTTATATTTCACTTCATTTTGCAGTAGCAGCTTTAGTGATTATAACATAATGAGAGCATTATAATGCTGCGAAGCATTCTATAAACAATTTATACAAAATATGATGAAAAGTTTTGTTTTTCATGCTGCTAAGAATGTGAAGTTATTCAATGTCTTCGTTTCTATAGACGCATGAAACCACAATATATTATCTGAGAACACAGTATGTATAGCATACATAAAGAAAATGGTACACGGTTAAAAAAAAAAAGTATATCAATGTAAATTTTATTCAATTTTATACAGTATCAAAGGAAACAATCAACAGTTGTTTATTTTTGACATAATCATGCAGCTCTAGATTATCTATTTTACCTCTACTTTAAATGCTACATCTGTTTATGAAGTTAAATCTCACATCAGTTTAACAGATGTGACTTTATCAATCACAGAATTATGCAGATTTTTGTTTTTGCAAATCAAATGTTGCATTCTCCTTATCTGTCGAATGAGGATTTACCTTTCAAATTGCATCATCCCAATCTTTGATCATATGTCACATCTTGTATTCTCACTGCCTCTTCTTCATTCAATTTCCTCTCCGCATTTCCTTTGGGTACACTTGAATGCAATAATTCAAATGGAACAATTCCACTAGCAGAGATGTTTCTGAGGTACAGCTCATTAATTAACACACTACCCTGCTCAATTTGTTCAGTAATTCAAACCAGGAAATGCAATGCTATTTAAGCATTTTCAGACTCTGAAACAAACGACAGCATGAAGATTGCAAACATAGGTTGCACACACTTTCATAATGTGTGCACGTGGGTGGGGGACTTTTTTTCGAATGCTTATTGTTGTCATTTTTTTTCTAAGAAAAAGCCGCATGGATTATTTCCTAGAGCAATTGCCCCACATGACAGATTATTTCAAAGGAAATGTGCATGCTTGTGGGGAATTTCTTATTTTCCTTCCAGCATCTTACATTGCCACACTCATTGATCAACAGATGTGTATCCTGTTACGGAGTTCAGCAACAGCAGTCGCCACTCCACTACACCCAGAGGTCTATTAGTGGGGCTGGGAGGAGGGATCGGGGTGGATTTTTGGTGTCATGTTGTAGTCCCATATGTGCCTTCTTTTTGACGCAGTGCAGAGCCTATGTAGTGATGGGCATGACGTATTTGAATCTGTGACCTATCATATTGACTGTCCCTGGGGGTACTGCAAGCATATAATCTGATGATATTATTGAAATATATACATTAGACTGCCTGTGTCTAGAAAAAAAAGTAGTTGAGAGGAGCTCTTTGGTGTTTAATATGTTTGTAATGGATTGCCTTTCAGAGGCATTAGCTCATCCCTTTAAGAGGTATTCATATCTGTTTCCACAGGCCACAGCCAAACCAAAAGGTGTTCAAACCTCTGAGCTTGAGTGAAACCCAATCTTCTGGCTTTTATAATCTGAGCCTTTCCGTTGAATGAGCATGATGATAAACGTCAGAAATGTAATGGAGCGGAGGAAACCTGTCTTGAAAGTAGAGTCTCAAAGATGTCATTTGCATCACAGAATGTGGCACATGATGAGTCACATTCTGGATGAGGAATGCGCTGGTCAGAAATGTTGTGAATGATATTTTGTTGCTCTTTGTGTAGACTTTTCTTTTGTCGTTGTAGTAGCGTAGCTTGTCATAGAGCATCGTCCAAGCTACTCTGAGCGCTCGAGAACTCTCTGGATAATTGGAAGGGTAGACGACCCACCACCTTCAACCTCCATCTCCCATCTCCATTCAAATGTGTCTTACAGAGGGTGCTGGATGAGGAATGGAGGAGAGCTAATTCGTCAGTGATCTTCCTACTAATCCCCCACTCTTTGCCTGAAGGCGCTCAAGCTATGCATCCCTCCCCCAAACCCAGCCCCTCTAACAAATACACTCTCCCTCACACAGACACATTCAGAGTCTGCCTCAACACGTCCAGTGGGAGAAGATGAATGTAATAGGGTAGTTTGTAGTCTGCCACGGTGGTGTCCTGGGAGGAGTGCTTTTGCACTGGCTGTGAATGAGAGCCAAAGAGTTTATTACAGTTTGGGGTGAGGTGTGGTGAGACAGGGCGGTGTCTAGGCTTTGTCTCGGGCTGTAAGAGGAGAACGGGATCTGCTAGGAGGAGTCACACTCAAACAGGAACTGCAGAGAATAGATGGAGTGAGCGAATGTTAGTGTGGACTCACTCCGATCATGCTGCAGGGCAGGAGGTGCCTTCGGAGCCTCCCAACAGGCGCAAGTGATCAGTCTCTCTCAGATCTTTGAGCAGGTTCTGGATACAGTTGGATTACTACTGAGAGGATACTACTCATGTGCTTTCAAGTTTGGAGACTTTGAGCAGGTTTTCAAAGCTTGAACTGAGCTTGATCTGCAGCTATCAAATTTTGCTGCGGTTTGGCTTCAGCTGCATGGATACTTTTGTGTGTGTGTGTGTACCTGTGAAGTGATTCAAGTTGTGAAGTACCCTGTTTAAATGTAAAGCATTTGTGGAATATGGGACATTTTGTTGTTCAAGTGGATTTGCCATGGATTCTCTGTTCACTTCGACTTGTCATTATGATAAGTATGTTTTACTGTTCCACTTATTTGTCAGGGCAAGTTCTGTAGTTGAATAGAGTGCATGTGTACCCTCAAAAACATAAGGCAGTCTCTTTTTATACGGTAACTCTACCATACAAGTTGGGGGTTTTTATAGCTTTGAAAGATTTATACTTGTATTTTTATATTAGTCAACTTTGCTTTAAATATTACGGTCCGAGTGTCTCCATTTCTCTCCAGTACAGGGAGATTATGATTGGTGTATTGAAGTTTCTCAACAATCGATTGGGCATCTAGTCTTAGGTAGTTAATCTTAGGAGCTCAAGAGATAGAGATCAATGATGTCTTCTGTGTACAATATGTTATCGGACAAACCGTTGCATGCAAGTCGATATCTCACTCCAAATAGTGCGAATTTCTGTTAAAGATAACCAGCTCTGTCCTCGCTTTGAAGCCACTGTATTCACTATTAGGGCTGCACGATAAATCGAAATGGAATCGAGATTGCGATTCGACAGAAGCTGCGATTGTCATGCATATCTTTCAGTGAAGCACGGTTCTGTGATCAGCAGTAAATCTCCATCCAAAGGCCAGAGGGCGCTCTCGCGCTGAAACTCCAAATAAGCCTCGCAGAAGAAACCGAGAAAATGCCTATCGCTGCAGCTGAATAAACAGAAGATTCAACTGCTTTCTTCACTATATGAATTTATTGCTCATAGGGATGCACCGATACCACTTTTTTCCAGTACTCGCCCGACACCGATACTTTTCTTTTTGGTACTTGCCGATACCGAGTACCGATACTGATATTTTTATTGCATTTTCTACATTTTTTAAATATTGGGTACAGAAACCAAAAGGGTATGTATAATGTTAGTTGGTTAACTTCATTTATCAAATAGATACTGTCAAACCAAAATGTATTCAGACACCTTCAACATTACTCACATTGTCACCGTTTATTCGCTATAGTTTAGAAAATGGTAATATAATATGACAAGAACTCAGTTACACTGTGTCAGAACAAATTCATCTTGATAATGTTAGATAATTTTGATAGAAAGGTATGTAATGGATTACAATCAACCAAAATAATTCAGACAGCTGTTAGTATGACAGTATTTACACAACTATGAATACTTTGTCGGGCAACCCTTAGCCTCAATGACAGCCTGTAGTCTCCTGGGCATGCTGTCATCCAGCTTCATGAAAACCTCAACTTCAGTTTTTTTCCCCAGACTCGGTTTGAATAATTTTTGGACCTAAATTTGTATCAATTGTACTGGTAGTCCACTGTATGAAGAATTTTTTTATACAAATCCATCTAATCTGAAATCTCACACTCTTGCATGCCATTAATCAGTGTCTATTGTCAGAGCCAGCTGATCTCCCAAGGCATGAAAGAGAGAACAAGCATTCGCTTTCTTGCAAATTGGAGAATATTTACCTGCCACCAGCAGATGCAGAAAAGTTCTTGAATTCTTTTATTATGCAAAAACATCCAATCCTTGGCTAACACTATCTATTGTCAGTGCATATTTAACAGTATTTTTTCTTGTTTTCTTGTCTTTGCAGTTGCTGGTAAAGTTTCTCCTACCAGTTCAGATGCCCTCTTCAGTGTTCTGGTTCCTAGTACCACCTCCAGCCCGCCAGAAGTTTACCTCCCTGCCAACTTTAAGCTCTCCAACACACAGTTGGCCTTCTTTCTCCAAGAGAACCGAGTTCAACCATATGGAAGTCAACGTGGACACCCTCTTCAGCGTTCAGAAAGCTTTGTGGTCTTCCAGACCAAGGAGCTGCCTGCAATCAACATCTCACTTGGACCTTTTACCCAAGACCAGACGTTGTCCAAGGACCTACTGCAGCCGTCAAGTCCTTTGGACATTCCTGGAAGGCTGACAGTCAACTGGAAGGTCCGGGCTTTTATTGTACAGTCTAGAGTTTTTGCTAGTAACCCACTGGTTCAGGTGCTGTTCTATATCGCAGGACGGGACTGGGATGACTTCAAGATTCAGGACAAGCTTCCATGTGTGAGGCTGCATGCTTTTAGAGATGTTCGGGAGATCAAAACTTCCTGCAGGCTTCAAGGGAATCTGGCGCAGTGCTTGGCCCAACTGGATCTCCCTTCCACTTGGTTTAATGTTAATGTAGCACCATTGGGTCGCAGAAAGTCCTCAGGGACAGATGGGCTTGAGTTGAGTGGAGAGACCCTTCAAGTAGAGCTTTACTATACCCTCCATGATCCAGACAGCAATGATGAATGTGGGGAGAGCTACCCACGCCGGGGAGGGGCGTCCAGAGGGGAGAGCTCATCCCAACAACCCCTTCTCCGTATTGGGAGCATCAGTTTGTACCAGCCCAGTCAGGAACAACTGGTGGTAGACAAACAGCTTGACAAGAACCTCTTTCTGAGGCTACCAGAAAGGCCATTAAAACCAGGAGAGACCCTCAACATCTACCTGCTCCTGGTCCCAAATTCTACTGTGGAGCAGTTTACACTAAAGTAAGTTATTTTCTTATTTCTTATCCAGGTATGCATGGGGTGTCCTAGAAGGGCTTATACGTAATAATAAGCACATTCTTCTTATTATGTATAAGCTATTGCATAGCTATTGCATACGCACTCCCATTTATGCATAGCAGTACTATTGCACCACGTCAGGATTTATTCCTGTGTCATTCATTGTCTCGATTTCTGCAAGCTCCAGAGAGTTGGGAAAAAAAATCTCATTGACTCAGATTCCTTACAAGGTGAAAACTGATTTCCAAGAGATGAGACACAAATCACAGAGGATCTAACTAAATCTCTAGTGGAGTGCCAGGCTTTAGGAGATTGTGAGAAGGATTCTGCTTTTCAAAGTAAAGACATAATGGGTATTAATTGACATCTGTTCAAATTACATTTCTCATGAGCTTGACCCAGTTCTTGTCGAATTAGAGCCAAGGGGATATGAGGCATATTTCTCATCTGTGTGCTTTATTTTATTTCTCATTGTCAACAGAATAGGAGGGTTATGGTTCTTGTGTAGTAAAGCTATTCTTTAAATCTTTGAAGGCGGAGGAAAATTAGCCTTTTTTTCCTCAGATGAGAGAAATGGGAGGGGAGGTAGGATATTAGCTGCTCTTTGAGGCATGTCGAAGGAACGCTCCATAAACAGAGTCCCTCTAATTGTAATGGAAACTCACAGACTTCAATTTAGAAATTCACCATGAATTAATTAGGCTTCGATAACTCATTAACCCGAACAGAAGCAGGCAGAGCTGTGGTGTAGCCTTAGCAAGTATAGTTCATTAAGTTTTATCTGAAATAGACTGAACTTTAGTCTGTGTGTCTACAGAGTGGACCCATTTTTTGTGAAGTCTGACAGTCATTATGGGCCAGAAGATGTTGCAGTGTGTGCAGTATTATATAGTTTTATGTAGGCTGTATTATTGTTAGACTTTATGGATTGCACCTGTACTGAAGAACAATAATGGGGGAAAAATGCATTGCGTTGTCATTTTTTATGGCATGGTCTTGGTATACTGACACCTAGTGATGTGGATGCAGCATCACACTATGCCCTATTCGCTGTCAGATATGATTCACTTATTCAACAATTTCTCATAACAGGAAGCTTGTTGAAATTGTTCTTAAAATGTTCTTAACAAGAGTGTCTCAATAGTGACCAATGTGGGAAAATCTAATCTTTTATTAGGCTCCTTTTTATATGAGTGTACATGATTTAAACAGATTTTTCAAAAGTGCCATTCATTTGTTTGTGTTTTATCTCATTTTTAATGAGATAAAAAAATATTGAGTGCACCTTTAAAAACAGCTCTCCTTTTGAAGACATATAAATCAATATTATATGTCATACAGCCTTTAAAAGAAAAACCTGTTCAAATTACAGAGCAGATGTGGGCATATCACAGTGATGTGTCCAGATAGTGACAGAGTTACATTGCTGCTTGTCACTACGAGCATCATGATCCATTTCCTAAACCTAATCCTCTTAATGTTATGGCATATGTAGAGCATTATCCTTAGTTTGTAAGTGAAATCTCGAAGAGTTATCTTCATCCTGGGGCATTTTGGCAAAAAGGGCCATCAACACTATTTGCATTAGTTTTGAACCTTTTTTTTTTTTCAAGACATGAAAATAAATTGCATCCACATTTCACATAAAGATTTGGATAGCAAACAGTGAAGTGATAATGGAAAAACAACATGCTGTTTCTTTATCAACACTTCATTGCAACTAAATGGTTCAAAAGGATTGCCCAACTCATCCTTTGCTTACATATACAACACTGTAAGGCCTGACATATGGAAGATAGTCAGAAAAAATTAAATGGAACAAGTTATTGAACCTTTAGACAAAATAAAAAGTTGGTAAATTTTTCCCCCCTTAAATGATACATCAGGCTTTTATGGCTCATGTAACATGGCATACAAAATACATAGTTCATATTCAAAGAGGGAAAAAATAACTCTTCAGAGGCCCAAAAAGAGCAAAAATGTGCAATTTAATGCATTTGCTGATATTTAAATGGCCAAAAAGTAAGGCCAGTCAGATCTGTGTAACAGTATAACAGAATACTTGCATAAAATGCATATAATAACATGTTTTAGTAAGATGTTATTTCAATGATGTTATTGTGGGGTGTAAAACATGTAATGCAATGCAATACAATGATGATTGAGAGATGTACAGATAAATGTTCCTCAGAAGTCTGATGTATTATTTTTGATACTCACATTTATCATGTTTTTTTTATATATAATCAAGTAAACTTAAATTGCTTCAATCTAGTAAGTGTTCATCTTGAAATACATACTAAACATAATACATACATACACATGTCGTTATAGTTGCGCCGCCTCTACTACCACGACTCCTAAATCTCACATTTTTATAGCCATCACTTTGTTTTTTACTTCTGCCGTAAAATAGTTTAATTAAACGCACCACCTGTGCGAGCATTCACCTCAAGCTTGTGGTTATTTGTGCCTTATGAGGAAATGTTTAACAACAGAAAATTAGCATTGGGGAAGCGACTTTGCTACACATAATTGAAAGTGGTTAAGCAACAGGCAAGTGGTTGGCTACATTTACAAGCTATTAACCACTACATTCTAGCTGTTTAAACAAGCAATATATTTAATAATTATTCTAAGTAATTATTTATACTACTTAATTAAACATATACATTTCATATAATGAAATAAATCAGAGCAATATTTATCCAACTCAAAAACGGCTTAAACTTGACAAATCAAATACTGATCAGTTACCTCAAATACAATTAAAATTGGCATGAAATGAAATTCACCCTCTCATCTGTTTTATAAATGCGTGTTGTAGTTCTAATTGTGAAAGATTCATCCATGTATGTTTTATTTTTTAGCTTGTTTTACCTTGTTTGATCAAAATGTTAAAACTCGGTCATCTGGTGAAAATGACAAACTTCTTTCTGGAGACATAATATATTTTGGGCTTCTCCAAACATTTAGTCCACTTAAACCCAGCCCATACACATCTGCAATTTCAAAATCCATTCAACAAACAACATAGAAACAAGTCCCAGTCCTAAATTTTTTTTCTCCGTAATCCATTACATTCAATTGTTCGTCACAATATAGAATAAGAGATCTGCCGCTGCTTCTGTTTCATTGCAACAAAAAATGACATGCAATGTCAGGCAAGGACTCAAAATAAATAATTTTTTTCTGATCCAAACAAACCGATTCACTAAAAAGAATTGGGGTTGGGGGAGCATGCTTGATTAGTGCCTCATTTTCTTTATAAGTAATGCTGTGTTCACAATGAAACAATGAGGTTGTAGAGATTTGACAAAACATCAATTACTACGACGAGACATGCTAAATTAACGGAAGAAGAATGAAAAGAAATAATTTACATGAAAGGTCTTTTTCCTTGTAGACTTTTTTTTCAATGATTTTGTTAGAACTAAAGATATTGAACTTTTTAAATACTGGCTGTTAAATTTAGGAACTGCTAATCGACAGTTTGAAATGCGACATGACATTTATTATACTCGAAGGAGAAAGGTCTCTTGTTCTCTCCCGCGCCTCTTATCCTTCAGAAGATACATTTAAGTGCTAAAACAGACAGATTTCAGTCAAACGCTGTCATCATCCTCTCATTTCACATACTTGAGTAAAGGCCAAGTGTCCCACCTCCTGCATACCGCCAAACCTACACAGATTCGGCACACAAGGTCTGGTGCGTTTACCTAACTATCCTTTAGATCATGCCAAGGCCTTCTGATTTACTGTGTATCACATATAAAATTACTCAATGAGCTTAAGGGCTTGTTAACTTAAGCAACAATTTTCAAAACTTTGGTGTTTGGTATTCTAATGTTGTCTTTGGAGAAATCAATTCAGAGCTTTGCTCAAATAAAACTTGTGTAAAGCAACACAACTGCTGTCACCTGAGGATGCCACTTAATTTTATGTTTGCAATAGCAGTATTGGCAAAACAGTGCGGTTTACTTGCCAAGTTCTTTTGCTCATAAAACATGGCCGTCTGTGCCGCCAAGGATTATATCATTACAGCAAATTGGTCATGCAGCACCATTCTGTCAAAGTCAATTGAAATCTTATTGCACTACATTTACGACACTTTCTTCCCCGCTTGGTTGTCTGACCAAGATAGAAGCTAAACGCTTCTCACCACACTAACCAACATATGTTTTACTGTTGTGATGATGCAGAAACAGATTTTTAAATTGACCTCATGCAAATACATCACAGTCAGAACACATACAGTTTCCGTTTTCTCTGATACAATCTCAGATACACAACCAAAGACATAAAAGTTAGCTAGATACAGTGTTTTTTTTTTAAATAGTGTACTTTACACCGTAATATACTGTGCATGTGCCCAGCAGTAACTTCTTCACTGCCAAAAGCAAAGCTAGGCTAACTTATCCACACTTTGTTGGCACACAAACTGTTGTGTATAGCAGCCACAAAGAGGTCACTCTTAGGGACCCTTCTAAATCCTAAAATGACAAATTGTACACCTAATGTCTTGTGGACCATGAACACATACAGTCAGAGGTCAAGGAAACAAGTAATTGTGCCATTTGGAAAGTGCTAATGCTAATCGCGCTGTTTTACACAGAATGGAGTTTAATGGACCCATCTATTTAGCTAGTCAGAAAGACACAGAAGAAAAAGCCAGCTTGCCCATGCTGTGTGAGACATTCTTAGGCTGGTTTGAGATTGTATTAAAAAGGGAGTTTTGTAGTATTTAACCCACGTGTGTTAGCTTTGATGTTATCTCCTTGCAGGCATATTCTAATATATATATATATATATATATAAGATTAGCCTATATAGTTTTTTTCTACAATTCAGCTTTTTTTTCTTCTACTCCAAATTCCTGTTTCAACAGGAAATATGGTAACACCGGAAAGAACTGCGCTCTACAAGTAATTTAATGGGGTCTTTAAAGATCGACCTAAATAAATATTGTTGAAAGCTTTAGCTTAC